CATGGTGGGCATTGTGCTGTGTTGGATCAGTTTAATACATGGCATGGTAGCTATTGTATTAAACCACTTGAAAAATCATGTGTTGTTTTCGCAAGTGTTCTTTTTTCTGTTTACAAGATACTGTACTATATACGGTGGCATTTAGAAGGTAAGGATGAAGTCACTGTATACTATATGGCAATGAAACCTCTGGTGCTATTTGCTTGAAATAAGCACTGGAGAATTCAGAGTTTTCAGGAAGAGCAAGTGACTAGCTTCTGATGCAAGTTACCAGAGTGTCCAAGACTTTTGATGCATAACAAGGCAGTGCTGTATGTTCTTTTTCCAACACAGCATTACTAAGTTGGTGTGTTACAGTAGCCTTATTATTGCCAGCTGGCTCAGCACGTGGTTTTGTGTATGGGTTTTTTGTGCTGGGGAGCTCAAATCTGGGTCTTGTCCACATTGTGAACGAGCAGCCTTTGTACAGAACTTTTACACTGAAATGTGAGATGCTGTGGTCTAGCCCAGCAGGCCCAGCGAAGGAGGCACCGAGTTGGAATTGCCTATATTCAGACTTCATCTTGAAACCTTCTGCAAAGGAATTGTAGATTAAATCACTTGAAATCTAGTAGTTTTTCCAGTGTTCTTCCTAAAATTCCTTTGAAGGATAGTGAGAATTGAGCCTAGCTGGGGGATGGGGGGAAAAATTCAAAGGCATGTCAGGAAAGAGAGCCACAGGTTCTCCCAGGCCCATGAGGGCAGGTGGTGAAGCAGTGATGGTGCTGGTAGTTTTGCATGCATGTCTGGAATAAACAATTCCAGTCAGCGTTCTGCTAACTGCTGCAGAGTAACAAGGATCTTATTTAACCCTTCAACTATGGTTCTGGTGTAATCAAGGTTTGTTTCTGTAACAAGATTGCAGCCTAATATTAGTGTGATATTATTGCTACTTCTTGGCTTTCCTTTTTTCCACATTTTTACCTCAATATAATGGCTCACAGTCTGTATGCTAGGAAAGTTAGGGACTTAATGGTTTACTGGCAGTAATTCAGTAGAGGAAAACATGATAGGTTTACGTAGAATCATTTTGAGAGAGATCAATTTTCCATATTTAAATATACATCTAGGAAAAATATTGTGCTAAGAACTAGGTATTCTCAGCCTCTCAGAAGCATCTCTTAAAATGCCCTGACCAAATTGTAGAAGTGTTCATGGCTTATACAGTAACATTTTTCCTTTAAAAAAAAAATAAAATACTTATACACATGTGCTTTAAGTTCATATTCAGTTGTGTTCATGGTGTTAATTAAAAGGCTGGGGAAGGAAAAAGGGAAACAGGACACATGATACGTGCTGCTGATGAGCTGACTAAGTATAAAGTCACAATAATCAGCTAGCTAGATACAGACAGTGCTGATGTCAGGCAAAAAGTATATTTTGCCCTCTGACACTTAAGTTTGTGCTTGCTCTGTTACTCATATATGTTATTCGTAATTAAGTAATGTTATCCATTATCTGGTTTCACCGATAAAACCAGTAATGTAGAAGGTAAAGTAGTTACCAGTGCTGTTTTCTTTCAGAAGACAAGTATGGTTTTCTAGATGACTTAGTCTCATCTGCTACATTCATCAGTCTTGCGTTGCAGGCTGGTGGTGCTGGAGATGTTACATAGCATTCTTAAGCTTCAAAAATGAATAGGAGCAGTTGGCACAGAGATCTGTATTGTATTCCAGGTGCTAAGAATACTAGGGAAAGTGCTTTTTACACTTTAAACTACAAAAGTGGCACTAAATGAGTGGTTTGAAGGAGAAGGCAGTTTCTGAGTTAAAAAAAAAAGCTTTATCATCAAAACTGATCTGTTATGTTGCTGTTGAGACAGAATTACCTACATGCTGTGAGGAATGATTTGTGGCTTTTGTAAATGCTTTTTTCTTCTGTTGATTTCTTTGTCTTTTTCAGTTGGTTAAGTGTCTTTGACAGCATTAGAAAATGGGAGCAGGTCTGATCAGGTGCCTCTTAAGGTTGATGTAGACTTTCTCCCAGATCTAGTCCACTCAGTAGTGACCTTTGATGAGTATGGTGGTTCAGTGGTGTAAGGGTACTTCTGTTGCACACTTGGTAAGGTTTGATTTTTATTCCTGCAGTGCCAGATGAAGAAACACTAGGCTGGTATTAGGCTACTTGACTTGTGACAAATGGACAGAATTCTTGTAGGTTAGGAGAGTTTCTTGCCTTTGCCCTTTGTTCTGGTTAGAAAACAAATCAGTAAGTTGAGTGTCTTTTTGGTGAGTCTAAATTTACTGGTTTTATAGAAAACTTATGATGATTACAGTGTTACAAAATACCCTGTGATTAACTTCCCCCCGCCCCCCCCCGCCCGCCCGCCCCCCCCCCCAGTATTGCATCTGTATTTCTGAGTAAGGAAAGCTGTAAATCCAGATAAGGAACTCAAGTTTTGTTTGCTTGTTTTACTGGATGTTTTGGATTTAGTGTGAGAATAATGGTGATAACATACTGATTAATTGTTGCTAAGTAGTGCTGACCCTAAGCAAGGACTTTTGTTTCCCATGTTCTGCCGGTGAGGAGGTACATAAGAAGCTGGGGTGGAGCACAGCCAGGACAACTGACCCCAATTAGCTTAAGGGGTAATCCATACCATAGAATGTTATTCTCGGTATATAAACTGGGGGGAGTTGACCAGGAGCCACCAATTGCTGTTTGTGGATGGGCTGGGGCCGCCGG